AAGGGATAGTTTGCCAGCATAAGGGCAGGAAATTTCCCACCCCACCCCAAAGAAGTTAAAGCTTGAATTCTGATATCTTCAGACCCATACTTGCCATTAAAAGTCTTTCACTGCCAAGTTAATTTTTCAAGTCTTTGAATTAGCACAAAACAACCCTTGTGTCTGTTGGCAATTACCCTCAACCTACCAGCAATTTTGTGGCATCACACCAAAGATATCAAGTTCTCAATAACTAATAGTATTTGATTTCACCACACAGGGAATTACAGAGATAGAAGCACATTTCCTCAGTTTAATGCATACCCCAGTGCAGTTTCCAGAGCAATACCAAGTTATATTTACAGTTTTCTGGGGATCACTGGTCAGGCTATTTTCTAAAGGGGTAAAGTTACAGCTGACTCTCAAACAAAAAACTGCTTTCTGAGATCAGTACTTGTCAGCCTCCAACTCTTCACACAATCTAAACAAAGCAGCTAGCAAAGTATAAATGTTTGGCACAAAATAAAATTAAAATGCTGAATTTTTATGACTTGTTTTGTAATAAGTGTACAATAGTAAAGAACATGTGGGTGATATAAACATGGATACTTAAATCAAAGTTTGTTTCCGAACCAAAGTAACACTTTATTAACTAAGCTAACTACAGACAAAATTAAGAAGGAATCAGTGTATATCTACAAGGACCTTTAGCTCTAGCTTAAAATACCACCTCTTCTGATATAATCAGCAATATTGTACCAATTGGAGTCACATGCACTGGAATATAGTTCTGTAATTTAAATTAGCAAGAGAAGAGGTGTCATGTCTCTTCTTCATACCTGATAAGGTGATCCCATAAGCCTAACCACAATTTTGCTCTGAAAACACAATAGTATCAGTTTTGCATTCCTCCTCAGCTTTGCATCCTTCCCTATACATCCAGTAAAACTTTTTAAAATGCTCCATCCTTTCCACCCCCCTAGTAACAGAAATACCTTGTTTATCACCACATGAAATGGCACAGCACTTACTGATCTTCCCTATCTAACTCTGGTAACATAGCAATAGGACAGTGGTTCCCAAACTTTAACAACCTGTGAACCCCTTTCATTAAAATGTCAAGTCTCACGAACCCCCTCCTCAAAATGAATATTTTCAGGGATTTTCTCCTTTACCTGAGTATAAATTATAAAGGCAGTGATCTTGGAAATATAAAATTTGTTTTTATGACTTGCTTATTACACATTATTAATTATTTATCATTACAGTATTTTTATTACATTATGAAAATGGGAACACTCTTCCAAGACCTCACTTTCGTAGCTTGTATCACTTTGAATAAGCCTGTTATAAGACAAGGCTCCTATGTTTCATCAAGGAGTATCAGATGTGAATGAGCATGAAGGTATTTAAGAAGCCAACTCAAAGAATTCCTCCTACACAAGCATTCAGGTCTTGAGCACTCCAGGCAAACAACGCACATTACAACAAAGCTTAAACTTGTTCTTCATAATAATTTTAAAAACAAGACTAGCTACCTATTTAATTTTAAAAACAGCAAAAAATATCCACCTCCCTTTCTATTTCTTATAAGGAGTCTTGAAGTTTGATAGATATGCTTGCTTTCATCGGCTTAGCTCTTGGAAGTCCAGGGGCTCCGTGCTGCTCGCCCCGTGCTGTCCCTAGGGACAGCTCTGTACACCATTAGGGAATTTTTTCCTGAGAACCCCCTGTAACATTTCACGAACCCTCAGGGGCTCACGAACCCCAGTTTGGGAACCACTGCAATAGGAGCACCATGCCATGTCACTGCCCCCTTCACAGCAAAACACCACACAGCACTGTTCCTTCCAGGCTCCTTAGACTCTTGGAGAAGTGCCTCTCCACCACCCTCAATGACATATAAAATGGATGAGATCTTTTGATACTGTGATAATCTGGCATTTTACCTCTACTTTCAGCAACTTGGAGACACCCATCTCCTATATCTTCTGCAATGAGATACTGCCATTTTCTAACCCATATAAATGGACAACTTCTCTCAAGCTGCAACTGCCATCAACAAATTTAAAAAATTCATTAAAGCTAATGTTTACAAATATTATATAGTACATAGGTTGGGAAAAGAGTGTCCATACATCTGGGTATAGTGCTTAGATTATCCACAAATACAAAGTTAGTTTTTTAAATGTCATATGCTACATAGAGTACATAATCAGCAATAACCCAAATTTAGGTGAACAGATTTAACAATACAGTTTAGAAATTAGAATTCAAATACTTGGATACATGACTCATGAAAAGCTGTACAGAGATTTGGTTGTGCAAAGCAAAATATATTAAATCGAGTGGAGATTGTCCCTCAGTAATTTGAGAATTAGGTTGGTTGTCCATTTAGAAAATACAACCCATGAGGAATACTACACATCATTCACAGTCTGCACAACATAATTCCCTGCATAAGAAGTAACCACTTAAACACTGGCCTTTGAATCTTTAAAGCAGTGCAACAATGCAGATGGGTAGTACTGATGGAGCTCCAGGGTAGGATCAAACAACAACACTTGAGAGAGAAAAAAGAAAAAAAGAAAAAAAAAGATCTAGGCTTATGTTTTCAGGAACAATAAGCAAGCTAAAAATCTAAATCCCTTTAGAGAATTTAGGAAGGGGGACCTGCATACCTAAATGCTAGAGAAACTCCATAACATACAGAAATACTAGAGCTTTATGTTAAAATGCTAAACCAACATTACACATATTGTAATATTTGACATGAGCTATTTTAGAGGTTCTCCCCACCCCCATCTTCTCTATTACCTGGACTAAGAATAATCTTCAGGAGGCCCCAGTGTTTATAATTTGAAGCCAACCTCTCCCTCACTGCCTCTCCCAAAATCCATGTGGATCAGATGATACTCTCACCACTGAGATGCCACAGCTACCTCTCAAGACTCAATCTGGAAGTGTCCCTTTTCAAGCCCAACCTCCCTCGAAAATACAACATTGCCATTCCAGACACCACAGTAATCTAGCACTTGCCTCAGGAACAATCAGTGGGGCACAATCCTGTGCCACATATCAAATTCTAGAAGCATTCTCCCCTTTCCACCCCAAGTGGCCCCTCACAATAGCACCCCATAAAATAGCATAGTTCTGCACTCACATTCCTGTACTCTGCTAATACTCTTTCCCAGCCACTCCCAAACATTCCCTCATCTACACCATCAGAGCCAAGCTGTGCCACACGCCCCATCACATCAACACTCCTTGATCTGATTCAGGAAGGCAGACGCGGGCCCCATTCTTGCTTCTGAACCAAAACCTGCATCCCTACCACGTGTGCATGGATCACAGGCTTACCACACAAGGGGAAAAGAGGGATGTCTGCATAGGTGGAGTAGAAAGAATGAAGGGAAAGTGTGTCTTGTCAGGAAGTTATTTTTTTATTTTCAAGTGGCAAATAGACAAAGATGTCATCTCTGCCTTAAGGGAAATGGTTGAGAAACCTGACTTCTCCTTTCACCGGAGTGGTATCTACCATGGGGTGAACTTGGACATTTGATGGTCTCTTGGGGGGAGGGAGGGGAAGGGAAGCCAAGCCCTGGCTCCCTCAAGGAAGAGGATGGGAGAAGCGACATCTCTGATACAGGAGAAGCTCAGATGCCACAGCTCGGTCAGACTCCCCACAGAGGACAGTGCCTGCTTAGATTCCCCTGACACATGGGGACAGTTACCTCTGTTCAGGGGAGTGGGCGAGGCAGTCAAGGCTCCACACACAGTAAGCAATAAAAACCTGAGCAACCCCCACTTGGGCCTGGATCCTTGGTATGGTGGGGAAGCAAAGGGGCTAGAGGGGGGACAACGCAGGCCCAATGCATAAAGAGGCACACACCAGTCTCCCTCTACAGCAGTGGTTTTCAACCAGGAATACATATACCCCTGGGGGTATGCAAAGGTTTGCTGAGGGTACATCAACTCATCTAGATGTTTGCCTAGTTTTACAACAGGCTGCATAAAAAGCACTAGCAAAGTCAGTACAAACTAAAATTCCATAAAATAACTTGTTTATACTGCTCTATATTATACTATACACTGAATTGTAGGTACAATATGAATATTCCAATTTATTTTATAATTATATTGTTAAATGAGAAAGTAAGCAAATTTTCAGTAACAGTGTGCTGTGACACTTCGGTATTTTTACATCTGATTTTGTAAGCAAGTAGTTTTTTTAAGTGAGCTGAAACTTGGGGGTAGGCAAGACAAATCAGACTCCAGAAAGGGGTACAGTAGTCTGGAAAGGTTGAGAGAGACTGCTCTACAGGAGGCATAGGGGTATCTCTGCCACGTGGGACGGAAGGAAGGAAGGAAGCCTGGACACCGCCCACCTCTAGGAGAATCCCTCTGACCCCAGCGCACGCGCGCACACACGATGGAGTAACTGGTGCAGGAGCAAGGGGAAAGCCAGGGGCTCAGAACCCCGGTGGACGGACTCCAGGGTCGCTGCTGAAGGGATACAGCGGGCGGGCGGGCGGCCCATGCCTCACTACCCCAAAGAGGGTGCCTGCTGCACGCGAGAGAGAAAAGCCAACCTTCCTTTACAAGGGGTCTTGGGGGCACAGGAGATGACTCCGCCCCGGACCAGGGGCGGGGAGCGGCAGGGGAGATGGAGCCCAGTGCCCCCCACTCCCACTTAAGGGGCAACTCTGCCCGGGGCGCGGAGAGGAAGCCCGAGCCCCTTGCAGGAGCTGAGACGTGGGGAGGGGCGTGCCCGTTCCAGGGCGAGCGGCAGCCTGGCCCGCACACCGGGCCCGGGGGGGGAGGGAGCCTAGATCCCCGCGGGGTGGGGGGCGGACAAGAAAGCGGAGGGCCCGGTGCCTGGTCCGCAGCTCCCGGCCTCCGCGAGGAGCCCGCTCCGCCGCCGCTGACAGCCCGAGCAGCTCCCTCCCCTGCCAGGCCCGGGCCCGGCGGGCGCCAGGCGGTGGAGGCCCCGCTGCTGCCCCAGCCGAGTGTCTCCTTACCGTACGGCGGGGCATGGCGCGGAGCGCCCCGGGGCACGGCCTCCTGCCTGGGTCGGGGTCGCTAGGCTCCTCTCCGCTGCCACCGCCTCCTCACAACCACAACAACATGGCGGCCGCACAGCGCGCGGGCACGGGCGGCCAGGGCGAGGGGCGGGACCGGCGGCGGCGCGCGGCCAGGGAGAGGGGCGGGACCGGCGGCGGCCTCCCCTCGGAGCTGGCCCTGTTTGTGCCCAGCCCCGGCAGGCGCAGGTGGGTGGCGCGGCATTCCTTTCCCTGTCCCCCTCAGCGGGGCGTCAAGCACCGACCCCCGGGCTCGCCACAGCTCCAGGCCCAGGTAGAGCTTCCGTGATTGGTAACATCTGTAATCAGAGGGGAAAGCACGTGTTACGCAGCCTAGGCGGTTCGGAGGACAAAGGCCAGTCTCCTAAATAGCCAGGCAGGCCCCTTTGATTAGGGAATAGCCTCTCATTTGCGCTACTTTTTGCGCTCTTCAAGCCTGGGAAACGACACTTCCTGCAGTAACAAAGCTTCTTGAGTGGGTTTCAACCCTTATACAAGCTTAAAAATCACTAACTAAATCTACAGCCCCTGCCTTTAGAGAAACAAAGATCAGTTTGTCAGAACAATTTCAGTCTGCCAGCTCACTCTTGCCAGAGAGATTTAAATGTCTAGGTCTGTGGTTGGCCACCGACACATTCTTCATGCAGAAGAAATTACATAGCAATCCCCAAGGGAATTGAATGCAAAGGGATAGCTGTAGACTCTTATCCAAATAGTATCAGGAGTGACATCCATTCTCCTGGTTATATGTGACCCCAAATCCTTGAAGTGTTACATTTGTGAATGGGAGAAACCAAGAGCCACTATAATTGTGCAAAACAAGCCAGTGGTCTCTTCTCCCAACTTTAATGTATTCCATAAAGCAACAGTCCTATCGTTCTGTCTCCATAACTTTTCCACCATCATGGGACACACACAATTACAAACCAGTTAAAAAGGTCTCCTTTGCCATGAGGCCTACAAAACTCCTCAATAATAGTTAGCCAACTGGTGTGCTGTAACCACTACTCATCATGCTGACCAGTATTAGTTCATTGCTTTCTGGTCTCTACCTGCTATCTTACACAAGTGGTTCAGGGTAGAGAGTGTCTTGTTTGTATAAGCGCCCAGTACAATAGCCTCTACAAATAACTGATGCCCTTGTGAGAAAAGGCTAGGGGTTTTATCAATTTCCCCAGCATATTAAACAAAATCCCTGCCTCTGAATAATCTGCAAGACATGGATGCAAATAAAATAAAGTTAACTATATATTTCTAAATACAAAGTTTAGAGTTAACTGCTGGTGGAAGGTGCTGGACAGTGGTCTTCAAAGCGTGGCCTTCCCCTAACTTGCCCTATTTAGTCCTTGCCCCTTCAAAGTAGAAAGAGGAATTCTGTTTCCACAGCTTAGTTCAAGCCTTTTCTTCTCTACATAATTCTAAAGGGGTTATTTGTGTTTGTGGTTTTGTAATATGGACACCTATCCAAGATATAAACTGAGACCCACATTTCACAGAATAATGAACATAATGGCCTTCAGAGAATTAAACCAGATTTGAATTAGCACTGTTAAAACTCTAAACTGAGGCCAGTATTGATCCCCAAGCCATTAAGTCCCCACCAAAGGTTCTCATACTACACATACCATACAGTCATCCTGAGCCTGTTTGCAAAAAGTCCTTCAACCAGAAAGAATCCCAGGCAACCTATAGAACTAAAATAAACAGGTTCTTCTTAGGGTGGTGGAAAACACTTCTAAAGTTCCCTCTTCCAGGATCAGACAAGCAATGTCAAAATCACTTTTCCTCTAAGAAAATGGTTCAGGCAAACAAAGCAAATCCTAACACCCTCCCCTCTTCCCTTGGGGGGGGGGGGGGGGGACCACACCTGTATTCATCCTTTCTTCAGGATTAAAGCTCCAAAATCCCTTTCCTCTAGGATTAAAGTGAACAAAAGAGGTAGTTGCTTTAGAGACCCTTTCCCCCATCACATTAGCTGTTTGACTCACCAGCCAAGTAATTAATTTGCTCTTCCTCCTTTTATAACCACCAGGCTGGTCTCCTGGAAGGTTAATGGACTCCAGCTGATTTTGATTTTTGCTTATTAACCCTTGCCTCCCAGAATAGAATCATAAGCCTTGTCTACATGGGGAAATTGACCAGCATAGGTCTTCCAGAATAAACTCCAATAGCTCCCCATGTGAACACTCTATTACAGAATAGAATGGCTACTCCTGAATATCTTATTTTGGAATAGCTATGCTGGCCAATTTATTTGTGTAGACAGGATCTATTAGACAGGAACTCTGGGAGTTTCTTCCTGCTGCTACTAGGTTACAGATAAGTAAGGTATCCTGTCACAGAACTCTTTCCAGAAGATGGTTTTAATGCAGTATTTTCTGATCTATGAGGTGGACACTAAGAATATGTCTACACTGCAATTAAACACCCAAAGCTGGCCCATATCAGCTGACTCAGGTTCACAGGACTCAGGCTAGGGGACTGTTTAATTGCTGTGTAGATGTTCAGGATCAGGCTAAGGTATCAGTTTTCCCTTAAACCAGCACTTCTGTAAATCACACAGCACTTGTGAGCACTTATAATAAAACAAAAGTAGGTTTATTTAAGAAAGAAGTACAAGAAACAAGAGAGAGTAATGGAAATACATGGCTACAATGCAAAACAAAATTATCAAATGCAAACCTGGATCTACACTTATCAATTGTTCCCTTTCCTGACTAATAAAGTAGATTTCCCCTCAAAAGCTCAGTTAGGCTATGTCTACACTACAGCCTATGTCGGCATAATTTATGTCACTCAGGGGTGTGAATGAACCACCCCCCTGAGTGACATAAGTTACTCTGACATAAGCACACGTGTGCACAATGCTATGTCAGCAGGAGAGCTTCTCTCCTGTCAGCATAGAGCGTCTTCACCAGAAGCACTGCAGCGCTGTATGTAACCAGGATCCAATTTTTAACACCTCATTCCTTGCAGAGGATCTTTCTCCCTCCTCTCTTACATTGAAACACATTTTTGTTTCTATTCCTAGACAGAGTGAACCCCCGCCTTGTTATAAAGATTCTTTTGTACCTTCAAGAGGTTTCAACTGTTTGCAGTCTCTGTTTTTCCATTGAAAATCTGGGGATTGAGAAAGGTTTAACAATTGAGCCTTGCATTGCATTACTTGGTAAACAGGGCCAGGTGACAACTCCCTCCTGCCTGAATGGGCCATCATCCAGACACATTATCCCCTGATGACTAATTTTTACTCCCAGACAGTCCCTAAAGCCTCCTTTCAATATAAATACATTATTCCTTAAATACTACCCATATATACATATCACAATGATTATAAATCTTGACAAATTATGAACTTTCTGTAGGTACCTTACATATTAC